AGTCCCCTTAATGCTACGAAGTCTCGCATAGCCCAACTTTTGAAATTTCTGGTTTGAGGAACTTCACCGACAACGACTTTAGTTACCACAGCATGTACAACCTACATATTTTGACAATGTATTTTAAGTCAGGTATTATGCCAATCAACTTAAACCGTAATCAGAAATTGAATCTTAATCAGAGTTAGCTTCCTAAAATCAAAGGGTTAGGAATTGGAAGGTATCATTTCAAAATGGAATCAAGAGCTTTAATTTATTTAGCATATGCTATCAAGAATTTACGTTCTCTAAATCTAATTTTCAAATACACTAACACTTCACCACATGATTCAAAGACTAATTGCTTATAATACCAATAAATTGCGGAACAAAATATTTTGAAGGAGGATGATATCGCTAGCTCACCTGAATCCGAATCAATTTATGATGCTAGTACTGCGGTAAATTACCATACATTTCTGTTGCACAGAATGCAATACTTTTTGGGGTTTGCAAAAGCATATTCTCAAACATAGGAACCCACAATTCCCTGCAAAGTGCATGCTCTAATAGCAGTAGGGCACCCATGAAGTTCATTATTCTGAACTACCACACTTTGGGGTTCAAACTTCAACCTTAATCTAGAAAAGAAAAAAGAGAAAATATTCCTCCCTTTCTTATCCTACAGGAGAAGATTGACTAAAGAAACAATTTAATCAATACTAACATGAGCAAGAAAAGGAACTTACCAAATGATCTGTCCAGACCCCAAATACAGTTGTAGAATTATGGCCCACACAAGATAAAGAATTAGGATATTGTTATATTTACATCAAGATTTACATAATAGATTACATAATGTCACATGCGCTTTGTCATTTGTCAATTTAAAACTCAATCAACTTTTCATTCAATTTTTTCCTTCCATATCATATTATGTAATCCAATATGTATATTTTTTATGTACGAGTAGCGAAATCGAAAGAATTAAACTCGATTTTTGCAGATGATGGGGTGACAATATTTGATTGATCGATTTAAATTTGTATTTTTTTTTTTTTCCAATATCCAATGAAACTGTGCAAGTTGGCAATCTGTGTTAAAACTGTTGGACAAAAAAAACATGCGCATTTACATTTGGTGGGTTGGTTGAAAAATAAAAGGTGAAACTGCAAAATGCCGTAATTACATTTCACAGTCAGAAACTTCAATGAATTCACCAATCTACTCATAATACCAAGTCAAGAAAAAGGGTTAGAAAAGACTATTCCCCGATTTCCGGTTCTCCACGAACCAGAAATTACATCCACCGCTGAAAACGGACCCCAAATTCCCAGAAGATGGAGCAAAAGAAGAGCATACCCTTCTACTGAGGCAACACACCAGAAGAAGAGTATTATATTCAACAGGGCATCAAATCAACCAAATCCTACTACACCTCTCCTAGAGGCCTAACACTATTCACCAGATCTTGGCAACCCCCTTCGTCCACCCCTCCGCGTGGAATCATCTGTATGGTCCATGGCTATGGCAATGACATTAGCTGGACTTTTCAAGCCACCCCAATCTTCCTTGCCCAAAACGGGTTTGCCTCCTTTGCCCTTGATTTACAGGGCCATGGCCTCTCCCAAGGCTTCAAGGCCTATGTCCCCAATGTTGACCTTCTTGTTGATGACTGCATCTCGTTCTTCAACTGTGTATTAACCCAAGATCCCACTTTGCAAAACCTCCCAATATTCTTGTACGGTGAGTCAATGGGTGGGGCAATTTGTTTACTAATCCATTTTAAGAAACCTGATTTCTTCAAAGGCGCAGTCTTGATAGCCCCCATGTGTAAAATTAGTGAAAAAGTCAGGCCCAAGTGGCCTATTCCAGAAATCTTAACAGTTCTTGTAAGATTTGCACCAACACTGCCCAAGTGTCAAGACGGACGGACCGGTCGATCCGTGAAAATCGGCCCCCATTGACCCGGGACCGCGGGTCGACCTGTGATCCGAGCGGGCGGTTCACGGGTCAAGGAGGTGTGACCCGCGGATTTCGTGGGTTGCACCTTCACGGGC